GGGCCTCCCAGTTGACTTATCATATAAGCAAATATACCATAGGTCCATCCATTTAAGTCGTTCTCATCTTGATGAGCTTGGTTGTAGAAATCGTTATATGTGACGGAAACATTTGCAGCAAATTTGAGGTGTTCACGATCTTCATTCTTCATTTCAGTCCACTCCTCCTGAGTCCAATTAGGGATTCCGTATTCTTGCATCAGGGCTTGATTTTCCAGGAAGGCGGTTCGAGAGAGAGCTTCCATCCTGCCAGCAAGGAAGTCGTTGTGGGATTGAAGCTTGGCCCAGTTTGCATCGTCTTCGGCAGTTTGAGCTGGGGTGAGTTTGTTGCGTACATAAGTACCTAGGACAATAATTAATGAATAATCATGAGTATAGCATATGGGATTACTTAGGGCATCATTGGGAAAAAAATGTAATTCGGACATACCTCCAGACTTGCCATCGTCATTTCCTGGGCGGAATCCTATCAGATGCATTTCACCATTGAGTCGTTTGGTATTTCGTTTGTTAGGTGGGCGATATCTGGCCATGGCATGGAGCGTTTGGATCACATCACACAGTTTGTCAAATATTGGAGTAGATGGAGACGTTTGGAAGGAATGATACTCTAGGATGAAGTGAGGTACAAGGCCTGAAGAAAGTGCGATTTGACGTGAAGGTTTATCTGTTTTAGGCAAGTGTTGAATTGGTTTGTGGGATACTTTTTCTTCAGAAGGGGAGCAGAGAAAGAAATATGTATGCTCCGTAGAGCCGAATTTCCTTTCGAGACTAGCAATCTTCTTTGCAGTGCCCGTTGCATATTGAGGCGGAGGGTTGCGGGGCTTTGATGTTTGAATTCCGTGATCCGGAAGTCTTTTTGGGACAGGCTTACGATTCCAAAGTGGCTCATCATCCTCACTTTCATCATCCTCACTTGAAGCACCGACCACACATGACCCACTTTCACCCTGATGGTTGCCGGCCTTGCGCCGAACAAGCGATTCAGGGCTTCCATGTGCCAAGGGGCCCTTGCTTTGAGTTGATGAGGCACTGACCACACATGACCCACTTTCACCCTGATGGTTGCCGGCCTTGCGCCGAACAAGCAGATCAGGGCTCC